CAAATCACAAACTCACAGGACCCAGCTATTTTCACAGTATCAGAGGCTTCTGCACAGGGTTTTGCCTGCTTCAAGGGCTGCTGTACAGCAAGCAGCTAAACACAGTGCCTGGTTCTCAACTGGGTGCAGAGATAAGTGCTGTCTCAGTTGTGTTGGAAAGTGGTCATTATGCCTGAAAAGCTGCCCAAAATTATGCATGAGTGGGAACAGGAAATGGTGAATGTAAGAAAGCACAGTGCATCACAGCCCTATCATGCTGATCCTTTGCCATATCTATGGTATGCTTGAGAGGGAGGTGTATGAAACTGCTTCAAAAAATGCTCTAACAGCCAGAAAAAACAAGGACAAACTACCTCAGCTGCTATTTCTCCAAACTACAGAGATTCACTCAAATGAAGCAAGCCTCATACTGCCTGTAGTAATAAAGTTATGAAGACATTATTATAAACTCTATGTAACCAAGATAACATTTATGTCAATTTTCTCCTTACTGCCAAATTAAGCAAAATCACAAAAGCTGTAATAAATTAAACCAAGTTTAGAAATAAACCACAGCCCTGTGATGAACACATCATCCATTGTATTTAATCAGTGATTTTGCATGAGGTTGTGGTGCTACAAGTAGATTACACTTGGGAAAAGAAGAATGAAATCGATGTATTTACATGGTACCATATATAAATACTGCCAATTTATTTCTCTTATTAGTTCAACACCCGATCACCAGAGTCTCTTTCACCAGTTTATCTCAACTACATCCTCTGAAGCTGCAAATTCAAAGCCTGAATCTTGATTTAAATAATGTATTTACAAACATTTTTTAAGTACTCAACAACGGTTTTAGCAAAGGGAAATGAAAATGTTTACATATTTGTTCTAAGATGAATTAACCAAACACATGCTCAGAGGTTTACCCACATAAATGAGGCTGCATGCTGAGGTAGCATCAATTTTTCAAGAAACAGTTGATAACGTGCACATGACATAGAATTCTTCAACACGTGGGCAGGGAAAATTGTATCACAGTGGGAAGAAAGTGCAACTTTTTGCAAAATATAAAGAAAACCCTGTTTTTTTCATGAAAGTGTTGGTGTTAGTTCCTAAAAAAGGATTTCAACGTAGTAATTATTACCTGATTCACATACTATGGAGCCTGGCTTCAGTTCCAACATCATGGTGATTATGGAGATGTCAGTGGAATACAGAATCTGCGTCCTGTGCGGGAGATTCATGGTCCACAGTTCTGGAGTTGGATGAAGAATGAACACCCATCCTCCTTTACTGCAGGTCACTTTGGAGCCATACTTCTTGCCTATGAGGTCTGTGGAGTGCCTGATGACCCCGTACTTAGTCTGTGTTACAGAGCCATGCTGCACCTTCACAGGAAACATGGACTCGTGGCCCAGGAACACAATAGCCGTGTCACCATCCTTTATCGTATCTCCATATTCCACAAAACTCATGGTCACAATCTTGTAGTTGGCTGATGATTGTCACCTAGAGAAGAATAAATATGTCAGGAGGGTTTCACAGGACCACAGTGGAGCTGAACCTACAGACATAAAACCAAGTAATTTATTTTCTCCAATACAGAACAAAACCGCACTGTGCAAATAAGATGCTACAAGAGAGCTCCAGGCAGTTCAGGGAGCTGCTCTCCACTGTATTCTTGATCCAATTACAATCAATGGAAGCATCCCACAGATTTGAAAATAACAAGTATTTTTCTTGGTTTATGGTACATTTTAAAGAAAAATCAGGAAATACATTGTAATTTACTCAGCCTGCTACTGAGTAAATGCTCAAAATGCTACTGCAGGTTAGTACCAATTTCAGCACCCTGTTCAATTACAGTTCCTGAGCATGTTATTAAGTTTAACTTCTACTCCCATCTTGCTTATTTTTTGATGATTTACAACATAAAGACGTTCTGCTACTTGCCTGGACCTCAGTCACCAGCTATTAGGATCACTAACAAAAGTATACTTGAAAGTTTTCCAAATGAACGTTTAGAGATAGGCTAAGGGCATTAATTTATGCATAAACTTGACTAACTACATGAAAAAAGAATATTGTGGCCTTTAATTTGCCATTGGGGGTGCAAAATAATTGTCTGGGAAGTGATCTCTGCTCCAGCTAAATGTAAACAACCACTTGCAAGCTAATGCCAACAGCTGAATCACTTCAGCCCCATGGTCTCAGAGCTGTTTTAGAGAATTACAATTAAATTTTGATGGCTTTGAGAAGACAATCTAGAAATCAGAAGGTGGCTTACCATGAAATCTGACATTGCCTTTCAGATAAAGCAGCTAACTGTCTAAGCTGCAGGTTGATCAGTTCATGCAAGAATTGCTTAATGAAGTAATAGGGATCCTAAAGTTAGAAATTAAAGCCTATGACAGCAGGCTTTGAAAGTCAGATTTCTGGTACACCATCCCTGGCAGAATCAAAAGCAGTGTTACTTTTAGTTTCAGAACAATTACTGAATTCATGCACTTTTGAGTTGAATGTTTAAGAGTTTGGTCCTGCTTCATCATTTCAATTAAAAACATTCAGTTCTCAAAGTCTAGTCTGGTGTCTGTAGTCTGGTTCCTGCCTGGAGCTCCATGTAGCTCAATTTACTGTTAAGCAGCTAGATTTATAATTTTTCCACTGCAGGCACTGAGGTTGATAAACAGATGTGCTTGTGGCTGAAACTTCCAAAGCTTATGACATGCTTATTGCATAAGGTGTTCAGATGCCAAGGCAGAGGAGGCTTGTCTGGACATCTGGTGAAATAGTAAGAAGAGCATCCCATGAATTCAGAAATGTATAGATAAAGGACTTTGTGAGATAGAACAAATGCTGTCTTTTATAGCTTGCACCCTATGATTATGTTCATGTCTTAATCTTTCATAAATGATACTCAGAGTTCTCATTCCAGATACTTTTAATTCAGTGCAGTTTTCAGCTCTCACAAGCGTCATGTGAAAGGACCTCGAATGGAATCCATTTCTTTCACAGTATTTACTGCAGTTACACCCATGTGCAAAAGAATCCTGTAGCAAACCTGCAGGAACACTGAACGAATTCCTCTCCCTTTGATTACACCAACCAGCTGGTTCCCAGCTTCCTTGCCTTCCTTTGAGCCACTACACTTACCACAGCTAATAGTCACAGCAGTGGTAATCTTTAAGGCTGGAAGGGACCTTTAAGATCATCACAGAATCTTTAAGGCTGGAAGGGACCTTTAAGATCATCAAGTCCAGCAAGTCCATCCATATCAGTGCAAGGTGACATCCCAAGTGACATCCCATCCCTTAGGCCTCACCTGCTACATTATATTCACACACTTGGGGTATAATTGGCATCTGTGAGGAATTTTGGAAGTTTCTTTTCCTCGCCTCCTTGTCAAGGAGCACAGTGACACCACCACCTCCAGTATTCTCCATTGCCTGGCAGTGCAGAGGGTCCCACACTGTTAAATTTTCCCCCGGGCAGCACTCAGGGGACTGCTGCAGCACCGCTGTCGCGGGAAACTGAGGCCGTGCCGCCTGACACGCGGTCAGGACTTCTCTCTGCGTTTGCCATGGCTGCAGCGACCTAAACCCAACGCCCAGGGGATCCCTCGTAGCCCCACAAATAAAACCAATAACATGATTCTGTGTTCCCTTCAATCACAAGGCAAACACACGTCTCTCTTCCCTGAGCAGCTCCCACAGGGACCTGGCAGGCTGCCCCTGCCCCCTCCTGAAGCCTGGCTGCTTGGCACGGGGAACCTCCGGCAGGCACAGCCGCCTCCCTGCCCAGGCGCACGCACAGCCGCCTCCCTGCCTCCGTGCCCCCGCTCAGAGGTGACCCCGATACCAGGGCTGCCCTCAGCCCCTTCCGCATCCCGAGGGCGGTAATGCGGCTCCTGCACCCCAGCAGCGCATCGGCCCGTGCCAGCGGACCCGGGAACCTCAGCGGCGGGCAGGTGAGAAGCACGGGCTGGGCAGGGAAGGGGGGAGAGGCGGCATCCGCCTGCGGGAGAGCAGCGTTAACCCGTAACGGCCCCGGGGCCGGAGCGCCCTGGCCCCGGCACCCCGCGTCCCCGCGGGGACGGTTCTCCCCGTGCCCCGAGCCCTTTACCTCCCCAAGCCCGGCCCGGCCCGGCTCTCCTCACACGCGGAACCGCCCAGCGCCTTCTTCCGCCTCGGTCGCAGGCTGCTGACGCTCCCACCGCCTCCGCCCCCGCCAGCCCTGCCTGGAGCCGGGAGTCGCCGCCGCTTGTGCCCGGCGCGATCAGACCTAGTTCCTGCAGCCCTCCTGAGGCGTCTGTTTCTCTCAGCCCGTCGTGCCCTCAGCTCCATCAAGGCGCCCGTTCCCCTGAGCCCGTCATGCCCACAGTCCCATCGAAGCATCCGTCCCTCTGAGCACACCCCTGCCCCCAGCCCCTTCGAGGCGCCTGTCCCCCGCCTGTCCCCCTGCTGACCGCCCCCGCCCCGTCCTCTCAGCGCTCCTTGCTGGCTCCTGAGCAGTGGGGACGGTCACTGACCACCCTCAGCAGCCCCCAGGCACCCCGTGGGGTGCTCCTGCCTCGGGCAGCTGCCCTGTCAGTGAAAGTGATGGGTCCCAGTGGGTCAGTGGGAACAGCTGCAATGGGAACTGAGAGCCCCAGTGGGAACTCGGCGTTCATCACGCGTTGAACGTGTAGTGTGTCGCAAGGGCCACCACCAGCAGGGCTGAAGCCCTTTCCCCAGGGAATGGCTTTGCCATTGGCACACCTGGGCCTTGCCTCGATGGCCCCCAGGCAGACAGCTTCCAGAAAGTTCTGCATGCCCTTCCCCCAGGGCAGCCTCGGGGAAAGGCAGCTCAAGGCCAACCAAGCTCTTCACAGAGGTTTCATAAGGCTGCAGGAGAAACCACACTGTGGGCTCAGAAGCAGCAGAATTGTTATCTAACCCCCTAACAGCATGGTACTAACTCCTACTTCTGTCTCGTGTTTAGGATCGAAGTGATGTGGAGAGCCCTGCCTGCCCTGTGGTACGGGGGCTGTAGTCAGGAGGCAAGGAGGAGCAAAGGAGGAGAATGTTGCCTCATCTTCTGCTCACAACAAGCCCAGGCCACCTGGCATGGGAGCGGTATGGGCATAGCAGGGAGCATGTGAATCACCTTGGACGTGCTGCAGGTAGTGTTCCCAGCTAAATCAGATAACGCTCTGTACTGTGGTGCATTCACCAGTAACCTGTAATACACAATAATGGAGAAAAAGTCATCCTTTCACAATCACAAACCCAGTAACGGAGAGCTGTTTAGATGATGATCTGTGATTTTTTAAATTAATGTGGTTACACCAAGAATAAGGGATTTTTTTCCCATTACCTTCAGTGAAAACATATTTTTTGTTATGGTGTTGACCTGCCCATAGCATAATTGCAGTAGACTTTGTTAGTTATGAAACTCTTCTCCATCTAATCTAAACATAATGTATGCAGTTTCAGAGGTTTCTTAAACTGCAAACTCCTACTCAGCTGTTTTTCTGACTGGCAATCATGGCTCTACTGTGCCTTTATATTTGCACCCACTTTGTTTAATTTTCTGTCATTTTTAGTGTCATTGGTTATATTTGTCATTGTTTATGTTCTCATGTCCTTTCTTTCCCATGATGGGCTGCTGTTCAGATCACCGTGGGCCTGACTGTGTGCAAGATTGAGACACTCAGCAACTCCTCATTTCCATAGGCACTCAGCTCACTGGAAACAATCAGTAATTTTCAGCAGCCTGCCTAAGCAGTGAGAAAAACATACACCAAGGATAATAACTAAGCAAATACATTTTAAGTGATAAATGGGAAGAGAAGTTTCATTTGACAAGTTAAGCAGATGGAGCTATGGCCAATTTCCTTAATCTACTGGTACATGAGTGTTATGTTTAATTTTCAAGTGCTGTTTAGTTGTAGATTAGGAATTGGAAACAATTCAGTTGTTCACAGCAAACCACTTTCTCTTGCTGTCTCCTAATTTGGAATATTGTTCTGTGTTTCCAAGATGATGTTTATCCCCTAATTCTTCAGGTTCATATTATGTTCACGCAAGTAATTTCAGAAGACACATTCACTGGCTAACACCCATTTTGTCTTGCACTTGCACACCACACAACATTTATAATTAAGCCTCTTAGGAAGTTAGCTGCATGGCCCTTGATTAACTTCCCTTAATTCTTCATTGTTAAAGCTCAGCGCAAACATCTCTGGAGTAATCAGCCCACCTTTCCAACTGGAAATGTAGCATATAAATCAGTATTCACTAAGATACCATCCCAGCATGGAAAGTGAGTATTGGTGCCCTTATCACAGCCTAACAGGCCATACAGGCTTATCCAAAGCCAGTGTTTCCCAGCAGATGAGGCAGATAAAGCGGGTGATCAGAGGCTGTTGACACAGGGCACAGCATCTGTAATTAAGTCACTAGGGAAGCTGGCACAGAATGCTGTGACAAAGATAGGATCCAATTTACACACAGCTTTCAGCAAATCTTTAAATGCTGTCTGAGTAAAACCCAGTCACTTCTGACTTACTGTGTGCTAGAAATTTGTCAAATAGTGGTGAGAAAAGGGGGGTAGAGGGTGCATTGTTTGTCAAACGTGTAAATTGGATATATTTTAGTGATTTTGTGTTCCTGACTCTTTCCATGCCACTCAAGTTCTGTGAAGAAGAGGTGTGTGTTTGTGTTGGAAGTGCTGTAATGTTTGGCACCCTGAGACTTCTACCTGCTCACCATGACTGGTATTCCCTGTTCTGCAAGACTGGGAGGAAAAGAGCATATGCAATGAAACGGATCCTTGGGTTTTGGATCTTGAGGTGACCTTGACTCCACAAGTCTCCTGAACAATTAAATTACAGAACAGTTGATTGCTTCTTTGTTTGTGTGGCAACAGATTATGGAATAAGATAAAAGGAGCCTTCAGAACCTACCCTGGTGCTTTTTTTTTTTCTTTTTGTGGAGAAGACCGCCACAAAAATATGCATAATGTAAGAAAATGGGTTTAGTATATTCCTGTTTCAAATTAAGAATAAAATATTTGTGGTTTACATTTAAAAAAAAATCCAAAATCAGAATTATGTTTGTAGCTGAGGTAATCCAGTAATATTACATTTCTATTGTAATTTATTGAGGACTCTAGGTACAATTTTACACTTATAATAATTTAATACTTGTCTAGCCATGCATTATTTGCAATTTACACTATTCTGAAACATGAGCATTGTGTGAAACTATTAGTGCATAGGGGAAGACTTTGTGAGGTTAAAAGTGCAGAGGAGACCAAGAGAGAGGATTTGTTCTTTGATCCGGAAGCTGAGACCGGACTTGCACAGATGCTGAGCCCTTGGCTTCTCCTGGAGATCTGTATACTCAGCATCTCAGTCTACCAGACCTGGAATAACTCGGAAATCTGGATGGCAGCCAAACACAGCACATTTTTATTTGAAGCAGTCTAGGCTTTTTATTTTGCAATGATTTCCTCTATATGTATATTATTATTTTTAAGTCCTAAACAGTTCTGTAAAGTGCACATACTTCTTTTCGTTAGGGTGAGGGTACTGGTCATGGTGCTGAAAGGATTGTGATGGGGAAAGAGTTTCAGGTGATGTCTCCTGACATTCACAGCTCATGTCAAGGAAAGCAACTCTGCAAGTCAGATCTGCACATTCATGGATAAATACACTCTGTTTGGACAGGAGCATAAACATGGGTTCTGCTGTGAGATAAAGATACTATCATGTAAAGGTGAAAGTCAAATCAAGATACTCATTCAAATTGTTACCATACTGCAATTTCTGCAAACGGCAGGATTCTCAGCTGCATCTTTGCTTTGGGACAAACTTGCTCATTCCTACAAAGACCAGTGGAAGTCACTATTTTCATGAATTTCAGGTGAGCTTTAGATGGGTCAGATCCCAGAGTTCCTGTGCCTGTCTTTAGCAGGAAATCACCCCCTCTCCAATCAAAGCTGAAGAATTTATTTTTTTTTTTTGGCACATGACAAGAGCAGAGGATTCATTGCGATTTACACCAGCACCCTACTTCCTTTCGAATTAAACTGCAAAACGAGCCCACGGTTTCGCAGGTGCTGGAGGCGAGGTGCAGGTCCTCCCTCTGCAGAGCCGGGCTGCCGGGGGCTGGGCGCCACATCCGCAGGCGCCTCAGGGCTTTCTGCCAGCTCGGGGCACTTGCCACTCACCAGGCTCTCAGCACGGCCAGTCCGCAGGCCACATAACCCGTACTTTGGGGTGATGCATTACCAGACCCGTGTTTGAACCCCCGACCAAGGTGTTGGAAAAGGTGTGAAGCCTACAACCAGCCACGCTGGTGTGCGGTGGCACGCCCCGGCCGGTGGCACACGAGATGGATTCCTGCCCTCACGCCGGCGGTAACGGACGCGCCGGGGCCGGGGCCGCCTCAGCGCCGCAGGAGCGGCCCGCAGGGTCCCGCCACCCACAACCGACCTCCCCGACGCCGAGCAAAATGGCGGCGAGCGCGGGCCCAGCCGGCGGCGCAGCACCCGCCCCGCCCGCCGCTGCGCGGCCCAATGCAATGAATGGGCTATAAATAACGGCCAATGGGGGTGCGGGCTTGCACTCTATATAAAAGACGCGCGGCGGGGCCGCTGGAGCTTCACTCGGACTCGAGCGGTGTAGTACGCGGAGCGTCGCGGAGGTTCTTGCTGTAGCTGCGAAGCCCGCGGTAAGTCCCGGGGCAGCCGAGCCGTTCTGCAGCCTTTGAACAAAGGATTTTATTTTTTTCCGTTTTTTTTTTCTTTTTCCTTTTTTTTTTTTTTTTCCTCCCCCGCTGTGTGGGGTGGAGCCGGTCCGGCTGAGGAGGAGCGCGAGGGGCGGCGCGGGGCAGGGGTGCAGCCGCTGTGGGGGGCGCGGGGAGCGGCGCAGGTGCTCGCCGGGCTGGTTGGGCTCTAAAACCAGATTAACCCGGTATTTAGCAGGGTAGTTACATACGCTCGCCCCGTCCAGGTCCCCTGAGGCAGCCGTCTGTTGTGTAAGGGCTTTTTGGATGCTGCGCTGCCCTCCCCTCCCCGGTCGGGGAGCAGCCGGGTGTCCGCGGACGCGGAGGGCGCCGTCGCTCCTCCGGCTCCCCTCGCCCTTTAGCGGCGAGAGGAGGCGCGGCCGCGCACCGAGGGTGCGGCGGTGCCGCCCCGCTCACCTGCCGGCCGGTCCGGGGTCCTGGTGGGGCCGAGCACCCCCCGGCTGGCGGCGGCCCGGCCGCTCCCCGAGCCCCGGAGCCGCGCGGGGTCCGCCCGCTGTGCAACGGCTGCTCCGCGCGACCTTGGGCGCGTCCCCTCACCCGGGCGGCGCCCCGGAGCCGGGAGAACCTGTGCCCCTGCGGCCGGGATGGCGGGGACGGGGCAAGGCTGCTGGAGGTGAAGAACTTACTTTCTTTACTCCTCCTCGGCGCCTGCGGAAGGTGTTGTAGCCGCAAAGGTGTGAAGGGCGCGGGTGGAACGTGAGCCAAGGTGACCTTTTTGGGTGCCTGGCGTTCCCCCGGACGGTCCGGAGGCTGCCAAACCCCCAGTGAAAGGCTTCCCGTCTTTCTCCCCTAGTGACTGCGGTAGGGTCAGCCATGCCCTTCTCAAACAGCCACAACCTTCTGAAGATGAAGTACAAGCCTGAGGATGAGTACCCTGACCTGAAAGCTCACAACAATCACATGGCTAAGGTGCTGACCCCGGACCTGTACCAGAAATTGAGGGATAAACAGACTCCCAGTGGATTTACCCTGGATGATTGTATCCAGACTGGGGTTGACAACCCAGGTAATGGGATCGTTAGGTCTGCATAATGATCTGTTCTCCCTCCTGACTGGAAGTGCTTCTTGACAATACTTGAGAACCCAAAGTTCTCAAGCTACTGAGGGACAAATCTAAAGCATTCAGAGACTGCTCTAAAGTCATGGCTCTGTTGGGAGGCCATGTTTCCATCCAGCTATGTTTCATGCTGTGATCTGACACACCAATTCCCAGACACTTCAATTATGTAACTGCTCTGCTAAATACTTTCAATCTGGAGAGGGAAAAAAAAAGTCAAACCAAATGCATTCTAATTATAACTCATCTGAGGAGGGGGGGGAAAAAAAAAGATTACCTGGCAATCTTGGTCTCTTCCTATTCCAGACTGGTTACATGATGTTTTCTAGCACTTCTATGAAAAAGGGGGAGCAGATGTATTTACATGTTAACATTACAGTATTTATTTTTACTCTAGCAATATCAAAATGGCCCAACTAAATAATCAGAGACTGCCTCCTGATGAGGAGTATCCGGACCTGAGCACCCACAACAACCACATGGCCAAAGTTCTAACCCTGGAATTATACGAGAAACTGAGAGACAGAGTCACGCCCAGTGGCTTCACCCTGGATGATGTCATTCAGACTGGGGTTGATAATCCTGGTAAAATGCATTGAGAATATTCTGTGTGAACCAGCTGAAGTAACTGGTGCTTTTGAATATGGTGACTTAAAACTAATCTTGTGGAGGTGGCATTTATGAGCAGACTACAGAAATGTAGCTCTGTAGCAGAAGGAGCAAAAAGCAAAGCTTGCTTGCAGCAAAGCATGATTGTTTAGACATAAAGTTCTATGCAGTGATCTAAATTAGCTAGTCAAATTAGATGTGCTGTGCAAATTTGTCCTAAACCAAGCTTGACAAATGAGCCTGGTTTAATGACAATAGCTATGGGTTTCCATAGCACTGCATTTGACAAACTGGATGAAGTGTAAAATGTAGGGTCTCTCCAAATGTTTCTATGTAAGAATGAACTTCTAAGTGACTAGACTTGCCACTAAAGAACTTGCCTGGTTAGTGCTGCACTGGAGTACAGCCAAATGTCACCCAAACTTAGCTCTTCTGACTTTATTACCACTCCAGGCCATCCCTTCATAATGACAGTAGGATGTGTGGCTGGTGATGAAGAATCCTATGAAGTGTTCAAGGAGCTCTTTGATCCAGTTATTGAAGACAGGCATGGTGGCTACAAACCAAGTGATCAGCACAAGACTGACCTGAATGCTGATAACCTGCAGGTATAAAGTTTTGATCAATTACAGATTATTGGTCTGAGGACTGTGAAGTTGTTGGCAGCTGCCTAAGCTGGTTGCTCAGGCTCTGTCCCCTTGCTTCCACTGAGCATGGACACCTGGGCTGTGAGTCTGGTGCAAGCAGCCTGAAGAGCTTGCTGCTGTGGGATGTCAGTGGCTGGGCAGCTTGTGTGCAGCAGGAGCTTTTTTCAGGTGCTGCTGCAGTGTGGGTTGTGCCAAACACTTCAGTGTGTGTTTCCGTGAGCTGTGGGCTCTAAAAGTCAACTTAAACACTGTCCTGGAAATCAAGGACTATCATAAAATTTAAACACTTTCTCTATCTGATCTTGGATCTTAATTACCAGCTGATGGCGTCATGCTATTAAATAAATATTTTTACAGCTAGGAGTAAGGATTCTTAACAATTTTACAGATTTTAAAGGTTATTGTAAACTAAATTCTGGGAGTTCCTAACTCCATATTGATTTGCTAGCCATAAATCATATTGAAAATAAAGAGATTTGGGAGAACAGAAATGAATAGTTCTCATTTGCAAGAATAAACACTTACCTAAAGAAGGTTTTGCCTCATGTTGATATCTCTAGATTGCAAATCTGTAATGGGTAACAGAAGCCCAGACCACAGTCTGAAACGGACATGGAACTGATGGTCTGGTCAAATCCCTGTCTTCTAGGACTACTTAGTATCTGTAGCCTTGACCTCAGAGCAAGTACTTGATGAAATGCTGAAGAGAATTGCCCTGAAGTGAGGCACTGGCTTACAGGCCAGGAGTCACTGCCTCAGGTGTAAAGTGCGTTCTTAAATGCGCAGGGGCTACGTGTGTTTAGGTATCTTGGTAACAGGGTTGTACTTGCTCACCTTGCA